GCTGGGCAATCTACTTCCATAGTGATACTGCCTGGGAAACACAAGGAGTGGTCGCTATGAGTCAGATCTGACCCAAAGGCACATAACAACAACTACAACAAACTCCACAGTGGACTGTCCTCGTGTGAAAAGTCGTGACACATCCTCCCACAATTGTCAGGCCCCTGAGCTGTCCGTATGTCCCTCAGTTTGCTCACTCATTTTTCCTGTCAAGGCCTTCTCCCCTATGTGGAATGGTTCAGGGATGGCAGGTTCATGAAGAGGCCTGCGCCTGATGGGTGGTCTCTGGAAGCCGTTGTCACAGTTCAGTTAGAGGGGAAGCCGTAGTCCTCGGCGGGTTGCTGCCCCGGTCTGCAGTTTACGGGCATGCTGTGTTCTGGGGTGGCCAGGCAGCTTGCTGGCTGTGGGGTGCCTCTCATAGATAACATTCCCGGTGGTTTCTTTCCACTCTCAGTACCGAGCCACAGCCCTGCCGGCGTTCAAGTACTACGTGGCCTGTGCCTGCCTCATCTTCGGCTGCATCTTCCTCGTGCAGACCCTGGTGTTGCCCAAGTAAGTGCATCTGGCTCCCTGTGGGCTCTCACCTGCTGTATGGGGCACGTCCCACCAGCATCCAGTCATCTTTGAGGGACCCCCATGGTGCTAATTTCCAAACTGAAGGGTGATCTAGCAGGTCACAGTGTTCCAAGAAGGTAGGAAGAGGCTGACTTACAGTGATTCTGGGTTTCAAAGTGGATGTGTTGATTCAGTTTTTAGGCATATTTAAGGAGTAATAATAAATTTAACATTCATACCTTGACCTCTGTATTATTCTAATATTAAATCTATGAAACGTGGCCCAAGAAACTAAGACAGAAGGAGCAAACTCACCACAGATTGTTTCTGATAGAAATATTTGGCATTAAAAAAAAAAGGGGGGGACCAGGTTTGCTGGTCTGATAAAGCCTGGTGGAACCCCTGAGACTATGCCCCTTAGCTGCCCTTCAGGTCTGGAATTGAACCCACTCCTATGGCTTCCAGCCAAACAAAAGACAGGTGTATGGGCTGAACATTTAAATTAGGTAGATATACTCCTCGGAGAGGTCAGTATGGGAGAATAGAAGGGATGTGTTTGCACAGGGAGACAGCTCAGGGCAGGAGTGCAGGGAGAGAAGGACACAGGGGAGAGGTGGCTATGGGGAGGAAGTGAGAGGGGAGCTGTTGCATTGTGGGAAACTGCACTCAGTGTCATGAGACAATGTCTATGTGAGCTGCTGTATGGAAAGTGAATTTGCTCTGTAAACTTTCACCCAAATCACAATAAAAAAAAGAAAGAACTATTTGGGGTTTTGGTTTGTTTTTGTGGCTTGGATGAAAGTTTACAGAGCAAACTGGTTTTCCTTTCAACAGTTCATACACATTGTGTGACGTTCATTGCAGTCCCCACAGTGGGACCGTACTCTTCCTGTTTCCTGCCTATGGTTACCATTTCCCTGGAGCCTCCTTTCCCACCCCTTCCTGCCTTGTAGCTTTCTCCCTGGACAAATGCTGCCCTTGATCTCCCAGGCTGACTGTTCTGAGGAGCACATACCTCCCTTGGGTTCTTGCTCACCTGATAGGCCTGGCAGTGGGCTGAAAGTTGAGGCAGGGGGGTGAGTTCCGTTCCAGGTCTGGAGGGTGGCTGAGGTCATAGACTTGGGGTTCCACCAGTCTCTATCAGGCCAGTTAGCCAGGTCTTTTGCATGACTTTGGGTTTTGATCCACATTTCTCTCCCACTGTGCTTGGGACTTCCTATTGTGATCCCTTTCAGAGCAGTGAGTAGTGGTAGCTGGGCACCATCTAGTTCCTCTGGTCTCAGCGTCATGAAAGCTGGGGTTCCTGTGCCCCTCTAATAGGTATATCTGTTGTTGTTGTTTCTTACTGCCATCATGTTAGCTCTGACTCAGAGGGAGCCCATGAACAGCAGAGTGAATCGCTGCCTGTCCTGAACCAGCCTCAACCATTGCCGTCTTTGAGCCTATTGTTGCAGCCACTGTGTCAATCCATCTCATTGAGGGGTTCTGTCTTTATCACGGAACCCTCTGCCTTTCCAAGCATGACTTTCTTCTCCCAGGACTGGTCCCTCCTGACCACATGTCCAAAGTATGTGACATGCTCCCTTCTAAGGAACATTCTGGCTGAACTTTCTCCAAGATGGACTTCCCCATATCATAGTCTTAATATACATGGACAGAACCCATCAGTGAAATTTCCTAATGTGCACAGACACATTTTCCATTCCAAACAAAAAATCACCCCATTCAGTTCCTTTTGTGTGTCAGGTCTGTGACTGTTGGTGTCTCAAATGCATAAGGTTTGCTACTCAATAGAGAAAATGAGCATTAAAAAGTTATGGGAGCAAAACAGGTGTGCCAAGGGGTTGTTCTTGTTGCTGTTGTTAATGTGCAGTCAAGTCATCTCTGACTCATAGCAACCCATGTCCAACAGAACGAAACAC